GAAATTTATCTTTTTTCAATACTGCTCACAGTTTCCACTGCTTTGCCTTCTCCACTCGCTTTCAAACAAGTCGTTTTGGCCGTATTACTAGATGTGGCTGCGCAATTATTACTAACAAGAGCAAAACTTTTAGTAAAACTGATCCCCTCAAAGCAAAAATCTCACAAACGAGCCATTAGGTAGAGCAAAAGTTATGTCGGGTTCTGTCTATCCATTCGCTGTGTCAGCAACACGTCCTATTATAAATTCTCGCATGCTATTCGTAGCTAACATAAAGGATCCGTTCCGTCCGCGAGAGATTTACGTAGTCACCCTACTTTCTACTCCTTTCACACGGATCAGTTTATTACAAATACTCCTTGTGCCTCCTCCAATATCCGCAACACTAACTCCTCCATACATTTCGTTTTGTACTTACTTCTCCTCATGGTAGCCATTTCATGTCTAATGCGTAGTGGCCAAGTAGGAGCACGTAAAGCAACCTTACATGCGCCGTTTTTATTCCTGTATGTTCGTTTTTCCTTGGATTCAACTTCATACGTTATGCGCTGAGGCGTCCACCTTCGATAGTTTCTTAAGGCAGATAAGCACGTAGCTGCAGTAATGGCCATAGAGCCCGATTGGCCCTAAAGCCCCTTCCAGCTCCTAGGATGGCCGTTGAAATCATTTCATATCTCGTTTTCGTTGCTCTCTTCGCCATACCCACTGTTGCTTGTGCGTCATCGTGGTTCCCTAAGCGCATAATGTTCGTCTGCCGGTCTAACGGCCCTAGCAGTTCAAGAACCTTCTGTAGTGTTAATCGCTTAAATTCGAGTTCATCTAGCCGTTGATCGACCTGAACGTAACTCTGAACGATATTACTTATCTGCTATCCACTTTTCCCTCGTCGTTAAGCGAAACGACGGTAGTGGCAAATTGCCGACTCTACATTACGGTGAGTTTAAAAGGGCCACCCAACAAAGCGAGTACTACCGGAGCCTGCTGAAAACTTCGCTTCGTCCTCGCTGTTTCCCAAGGGTAAGATGAGCGGCCACGCCGTAGCTGGCAGCAACTGTAGCCTGTAACTTCTGATGCAACCCCATCGAAACAAGTAGCGCGGCAAGGTAACCGGTATCGTCACGGGCTGCAGCTATTTCTGTTGTTGTTGCGTAGTAGGACATGAACATGATCTTGCGCCAAGCCGGCTATGAAGGCAAAAAAGAGGAACTACAAGATCAGAATTCAGCTGTTGAGGAGCACACACCTCACGTCATTAATAACCGGCTACCTAGAAGTAACACATGGTCTTCGCTTGTAGTTGCAACGTTGCCGCTTGCCTTTAACACTCGAACGCTGGGCACTGATTGTAGATTCTGAAACCGAAAACGCCCAAGCAGACGAACCGGAAGCTTTTATGCATGATGCCTCACAGGATGTAACTGAACGTCTTTGGTCCCATGCACGTGTCAACATGCTTCCAAACTCTGATAAAAGCCTTATTTCTTTTGTCTCCTCTTCAATTTAAAATCTGAGTCTGCCCGTTCCTGGTTCTATTTGTCAATAAAAAATCGTCTACGTATGTGGCCTATGTGTCTTGTCTAAACAACAAAAAAAAAGACTAGTTCTCTCCTTCGAACGAACATAAAGCTGTTTATCGTTCAAGATAGTGACTCTTTCAACCAAAAAATTCTTGTAAGAGGACTTGAAATGACGACTGAACGAAAGGCCAAAATTGGCCTGCTTTCGAGTGTATATTTCAACTGCGTCGCTTCCTTCTTCATTGTTTTTTTTTTTCGTTTTCTAGAAAACTGACACGTTCATTGGTTGAGTGGAACTCTTTCTTTGCGGAAAATTAAACTTCATTACACATTAGAAACCGTCATCTGAACAAGGTTTTTTTGATAGATACCGATAATTTCAGTCAAACTAAAAGCAAACATTTATCAGGCCGAGCTATCCGTTCAGCTGTCAATTTTATTCCAAGGAGCTTTTTATCATAAATAATTTTTCAACAGAGTTATTTGCATGGTCACTGTTGAAGTCTAATAAGCGAATTGGACTACTGCAACAGATCGTACCTAATACAAAATAAGGCCTAGAGTAATAAGCGATACCCTGTACACGTCGAAAGCCAGTAGTTGCTAATTGAAATATATCTTATATGACGAATAGTGTATTTGACTTTAGATCAATACAATTGTGTTGTATGTACGTATAAACTAAAAAATTATACATCTCAAAATTTGTGTAGCCATCAAAAAGACTGTTCTACGATCCTCTGGTGCACGACGGTGCATGGTTCATTGTTGAAGCATGTTGAATATGTTATTGTAGAAAATGTGAAAAACCATGGATCGCATCGCATAAAAACGGGGAAAATTTGCTGTATTGTATTTGATTTAAATAATGTAGTAAAATTATAGCAACGCGCCAAGTCTGCGGGTACGTAATTACAAGGAACATCATGTGAATAGGCGCTTCTTCTATTAAGTAAGCTCCTTTATAGTTAAGTTTTTAACAGGCAAACAGGCTAATGACCGATGCCAGTTCGATAACAACTGACAGAAAAATTAAACGACATCGATCCCCATGTATAAAGTAAGATATATCAATTGTTTTGTTGAAGCCCTTCTACTTTCCTTATCTATGTCGCAAAATAATGATTCGATACATTAGGACACATATCGAAGACTTCCTAATATTCAGGGTAATAGCCGCTCTTCTTTAATTTGACAGAAACGCTCTAGTAGTTGCGTTCCTTCGATTAGTGGCACGGTCCATGTCGTTCCACATTTCGGCAGCCTCAAAAACAGTCAAGACATTAAAGGAACTGCCGGTGTATTTTCGGTCGAGATCTATGGGTGCTGTTTACATACTAGCCGCCCGTTATACATTGCATTCCCCCAACTCATTTTCCCTGTTGTTTTGTGTCCCGTTGGCCTTGAGAGCAGACTCACGCGCCGAGGCCAGAAGGACGGACCAGAGGAATCCGACGATTGCTAAAACGAAAGCTCCACGTTCGAACGTTGACCTCTGAAAGCGTCCAGGATGCACAAACTAGTCTTTTTCGTTCTGTTCGATATAGTCGTACACACGTAGATAGCCTTGATCGAGTCCTCCTCTCGGCGGGAATAAGATCGCGTACATGGGGCCGTGGATGATCGAAGCTTGCTTATTTGAAGAGAGACGAAGGTTTGACACAACCTAACCAGAGTATGTTTCACTATATACAGCATCCAATGAAAGGTTTCACCGGATCATTCGATCTATCGGTCAAGATCACAAAAGTATATCTATCATCCTTGGCGAGGCCCTTGGCCATTCTTAACGTTCGCTAACTCTGTTTATCGTACACTTTACCTATACACTAAACATATTTGTTTCGTGTTTTGCTAGGTCTGAACGATCAAAGGCTTATACCATTCACTGTGAACTATATAGACTTACGAAGTTGCCTGTGACTAGCTACATTTGTTCTTCTTCGTAAATTTATACAATGTTGGAATCCAGATGCTGAAATATTTGGGGTAAGAGACAAGACGAAACGAAATTTTTCGTTATTCGTTGTTTTATGTAAGCGCTTTCGATAGCTAAAACGAAGAACCAAATACAACTATTTCTATTGCCAGATGCCTTTCCCATTGTTTATAATCTATGTTGTCTGTCCTGTCAAGGAAGTTTCAGTTCAGCTCAGTGGAAAGGGCTTCGGTCGTGACCTCGCCCTCTAAAGTTAATCCTGCTGTTTTGGCGGCGAACCATGCCATTTAACTCGAAAAACATCACACGATGTATAGGCATTGTTCGAAGGAGTTTTACGGTAAAACTAATACTACTTAGTAATGCAGACCAGGACAGTAATAATGTTTTGTTTAGTAGACTGATAGCAAGCGATCTTGTAGACTTCTCAGTTGCATAAAAAGAGCTTTGCAATAAATTTCTTTCTAAAGCGTATCTTGGACACAATTAGATCTGCTCTTCTTACCTTCGGCGCAACAAAACTTTTCGAATATTCGTAGGAATAATGCATTTAGAATACCTTTCAAATTCCAGGTTGATTGATTAAGGCGTCTCGACCAAGACCACCTCTTGAAGTAGCGAAAACAAAATAATCGTGTATAAAAGTATTGTAGTAGCTGAGCTGAAGTTGTGAGCGCGAACATTCGGGCCGCATGTGATGATCCATGCAGTAGGTCCGCATAAATAGGTCGATTCGTTTACCTAGATGTATGTGTAAATCGAATTCTTTTCTACTTTTTTTTTTTCAAGTTAAGGCCCTTCCGAATTGATACGATCAGAATGTGATTTGCTTTTAGCTACTCCTTAGCTTTTGTAAAAGTATTTTTTCCATAGATGTAAAAAAATGTTTTTTGTGAAGCGATAGCCACTCTAAGGAAATTCCCTAAGGAAGCTCTATTCCCGTCCGCATGCCAACACCGCTAATGTTTCAAAGAGAAGCTTGCAATAGTTTAATGTGATTAGCAACGATGTTCGTATGAAAAAATGCCTATTTGCCATGACGCTCAAGGCAAAGTACTTGCTATATGAGATAAACGAATCTAAACGAGCTAACTTGCGGTGCCAGTATTTTATTTAGCGCAAAAGACTCGAAGGACCAATGGGCTTCAAATCAACGAGATCTATTCAATTTTCGAAGGGAAGAACTGAAAGCATTATTTAGTCGTGTTCTACAAATAAAGAAAGGGAAAAATCGTTAAAACAGATGGCTAGATCAGCATTGATCAAACAGTATCCTAGTAGTGACAGTTATAGTATATACAAGTGATAGTAACGATCAACGCATAAGTATTCTACTTTTATTTGTATAGAAGCGGAATATTTGCGGAAGCGGAAATATCGGTTTGACAAGAGAATTTAGAAGAGATGAGTGCGAAAGTCATATCAATTGTTTTTCAGTATCAATTAATCGTTTGCAGTATTTCTATACGCCATTGCACTATCAGGATTTTATTTCCTATGTTTCCTAAGCATTTCGACTATCTGTTTTTAACTTCATTTTTCAGAAAATCCGATTTCCTGCTAGTGCATCTGCTATTTACCGCTACTACAACAACTAAAGGCAGTGTCTTTTATATCTGCCCGAATCTGTAGTTTTCTTCTGACAGTCGTCCACTACCACAGCCATCAGCAGCGATCAATGAACACTTGTTTTAACCAGCCGACTGAACTTATCAAACGTCATAAACAGTTTAAGATTCAGCCGTAGTGCGTTGTTTGCAATGAATAATGATCGATGAATCCATCGACGAACCTCATCCACGGACCAGCCTACTGCGGCTAGCCTCGACTCCCAACTTATAATTGTTGCTCTTTCAACTATTTGGAACACTCAGTGACTAGCTGGTCCCACCTTATGTAATTGCTGCTGCCGCCGCACTTGTCGCTGTCCAGTAGATGCTCCGCGTTGTAACGCTCAACGTCCAGTCCCCGTTTCGTGCCACCTAAATTCCGGCTCCGTTGAAATGCCCGCTTGCAATGTGACCGTAATGGCAGCCCCACATAGTAACCATCATCATCATCAGGAGGGAGGACAACTGCCAAGCCATCCGGGTCCTCACCAGGGCCACGGACATCAGACAGTGGCAGTGGCTCATCTACATCCAGGCCACCATCCCTCACAGGGTCATCTGGATGCCAGCGGTGCGGCACATTTTAAAAGACAGGTAGGTTTATGCAGACGTACCTTCACACATGTGAAATGCACAGATCCATGTATATATGAATCGTACTTTGCGTGTTGTTATTCTACGAAAGGGAGGCTGTCAAGCCCCAGAATTCACCTGAGAGGTACCGTTTTTACCATTGGAATCTAATCAGTATCTACGTATGCTGCCACAGTCCTGGAAATCTGTCTCATGGTGACTAAAAATATGTGCCATACGTATCGGCTAAATCGTACAATGTTCGCATTGTTAACGAACGGCGCACCCTCATGTCCCAGCCTGGTTCTCGTTTCAGCCGCGTCGTCTTTATTATGTTATACCTTTCTAAGTGCATTGTTGTTACATTCTGTCATAGGCGCGCACACAGACATCCATATTATTCCACATTTTTTTTACAACCATAACCTATATGGAATAGGATTATTTATTTTGCTCCCATCTGAATCCCAATCCGGTTATTCCGCCGTCATTTATCGAGGTTCTGACCGGCAACGAACAATGTTGTCTCAAATATGTGACGTCGCCGCCAAATTTCGAATGAAACTGAAAATCGATTTGAAGCGGAAGTACCTGGAGGATAACGCATCGATATCTTAAGCGGTGTTGTTTTTCGGTTGAGACTTCTAGTAGCAGGACCAATTTCGTTATAGCTAGTCAATGAGTCCTTAACAGGCCAGTCGATGTGTGTGGTCTTCGTCTCTCGAATCGATCGTTGATCAACCGTTCGCGTAGGCGTCAGTACGACGCGAGTACAGAAAGACTTTTTTAGGAAGGATCTTTGATATTGCAATACGTTTAGAAAACTTGTCGTCTTTTGCCTTTTCTTTCTCGTTTCTTTGTCTTCCTAAATTGATTGCGTAGACTTGAAGTGAGAAAGAAATTATGAGCAAACCCTCGCTCTACTCCTCCGTCTACAACTGCTTGCTACCATGCTTCAAAACACGTTCATCGAATAGATTGATTTTTTGTTTCCCCCGCCTGATTATCTCTCTCTATTCCGCAACGCTCAGTTATATACGCCATTGTATTGGCTTCAGCCGCCGTAGGCTTGGCTTGCTCCACGGTGGTGAGGTCAAACAAAGAAATGAACTGAACATTTTTTTGCAGTGACAGTAAACAACCTGTTCTTTGCCATAAAACCCCGTCCACTGTTATAGTCAAATCGATTATCCAGCTACTTCTATCCTACTTGGTTCTAGAGATTTTGACAATCAGCAAGAGGGTGCCCCACGTACGACTTACGCCAACTCAGCTGCTTGACTTTCGTAAAAAGGCCCAATTCTTTTTCCTAAAATAAAGAATTTTCGCCTAAAATCCAGTTCAACATTTGACAGCAATTTATAAAACAACTTGGAAAAAAATGGAAACAATGATCGTGACAATAAATAATGCAAGGTGCTTTTGTGATTACTGTGACACATGTGGTTTAAAGTTGTGCTGAATTGATGAGGCTAATGAAATCTGTCGAAATACGGCAAAGTTTCAATGTTCTTCCAGCTAAGAAACAGAAATGTAAGACTGTGGTTTCGTTAAACATGAAAGCGTCTATAAGTATATATAAAGTAATATACCTTACGGTATACTACTAACATTACTACGCTAGAACGTCTCAATATTATAGATTTTTTTGTAGACCCATAAAAGTGGCCAGTTCAGTTTCCGATATACAGTACATATGAAGTCCATACCTGATTTTAACATTCGAACAATATTTGATCGTCAATGAACCTGTCGACACGTGGAACTGTTTACCCCTTTCACTCTTGCAACTTTATGGACACTATATGATACGATAATATATACACTGTGAATTTAGTTATTAACAGGCGATTTTTTAAAGCTTTTCTCTTAAAGTTCTACGAGATTATCAGTGATACAGCCTTGAAATATTGTATTGACAGTATTGAGGTTACTTCACTATAGTACGGCTTCAAGCGTTCGTCAACGACGTCTTAAGCTGACAGAGAATTTCACATGGGATCCTAACGAGGACGTATGATCAAATCATTGTTTCTTACATCCTAAACTTTTTTGTCCGTTATTGAAACGAGTTGTATGTAATGCTTTTCGACGGACTTGGTTAATTACTTGTATGAAAGGCATTTTTCCTAAATATTTTCTATCAAAGCAATAGTTTTTTATCTTTAGTAAAATCAGGTATTGATTAGGCCAATTACGTGCCAGCTTACGTGGCGCATTAGCCATTTTATCTGTTTTCGCTGAACGATTCTCGACGTATCTACTTGCAGAGTATATGTTCCCTAAAAAGACGCCTTTTATATAATAAACTAAATCTTCGTCCAATTTTTGTTGAAAACAGATCGATCTTATTTTTAGACTAACCGTATGCTATAAGTCGCTAAACTGCTTGCTTAACTCTTACTGTTTCATGTACCATAATACATCGGTTTCCAGACCAAACACCACTGTAAGAAGTTTTTAACCCGATAAATTTTTAAAAATAATTTGGCCCATATAGAAAAATTAGTTTTTACCCGTTTTCGTTTGAAAAAAAAGGTCAAAAAAATACCATTGATACTTTTTCCAAGCGTTTTCATCGCCATTAGTCTGTGTATTGTCGCAAGATTAATAAGCTGAGTCGATGAACTTTCCGGACATTCATTCGCTTGCTCGTTTTTTTTTGTTTCTTTTAGGTTCCTTCGTATAGGTCGACTCAGATAATATCATCCCGTTTACACAAAATTTTTACTTTTCTCTTTGCTTGCCATAGGCGAGCATTCATCGGGTGCGAGATATTCAACCCCAATCGCTGACGATGGAGAACGACTACGACGTCGTGAAGGAAATTGGCGCCGGAGACTATGGGAAAGTTCTGCTTGCTAAACACAAAGTCACCAAAGAGGAGGTAAACTATTGAAGACTGACATCGCAAGAAGCTACTTGTCACTGATGTTCACACTGTAGGATATCGATAGACACAATGGTTGCTGCTTCTTTGGTAGATAGGTAAAGATATGATAATAATAATAAATTGTACGTCTACCGTTACAATTTAACGGTACCGATCTAATCCTACAGCATGTATGAGATACACTAATACTACATATTCGATGTCTACACATTTTGACAATGCCTTACTTCCATGAAATTTTATGAATATATATACACTTAGCTTTGTGTAGCACTAATTCTGTAACGGTGACCTCGCCTTTGTCCCTTTGATTCCATCGCTACGTCATAACATGGTGGAACGTACAGCGACTCGTATGTGCTACAACGAAACGAATGAAGACACGTTGATTCCGTCATGTTATTTCTAAAACTGTGCTCGCTCGCTCGCTCGCTCTCTCTTTATTTCTCTTTCTAGTTTCCAATTGGGAGTATGCAGTGCGTGATCCATCTAATCGTTGTTTTTGGCCGAGGCATTACAGCTCCCGGCCCAGTCCGCACTACGGTTGGCGACAATTTATATATAGCGTTCCTCTCTCATTTTTGCTATCGCATAGGTGCCCAGCACGTAGGCTTCATGAGCTTGGATCACGACGTCGACTTGGGCTTGCAGAATATTTAGGCGAGTGTTATGCTACGGCGAACGCACTGTGTCCATGCGGTGTCTAGAATAAACGCTGGGTATTTATTTCCAATGCCCATACCATACAATTTTTCTTATTACATAAGGGAATTTATAATTAGTAGTGGCAGACTCGCCTACCTGTACAAACTTATGCCATACGTTTGCATGAATCCACTCATATCGTGCAAAAGCTAGTGCTGCATGCAGACAACTTTTATGTATGTTCATTTATAAAGAACACTTCAAACTCGCATCAAAGCGGGCACCATTCAAAGAAATCGCCCACTGCATGCATTGCGTCACTGTATACTTGCTTATTATTTACATAGCAAAAAACGCGACCTTTCAACAAAAAAGACGGTGAGCTTCTCGATTTAATGTTCTTAGCTCTTATATGCGTCAAAGCAACAAGCTAACATCGTACTTGCAACTGGGAGCTATCTTCAGAAAGCTAACCGCAAATCGACGTTTTTTTTTATCTTAGAAATTAACAGTGTCTTAGATGTGATGGTCGTTGATAAAAGAAAACTAATTCATTCGTGTTCTTTTCGTCTTCCTCTGCTTTTTCAAACCCTTATCTATGCAACGCACGCAATCCAAAAGGTCAGTTGTTTTAGCGACGAGCGGGGTAACAAGCAAGAAAAGATCGAGACAATTTGCGTTCGTACCTGTTTCGTCTTTACCAGTCACCCGGTACTTTTGTTGGCTGACGCGGAACTTGGGCGCCATTCCCTTTGTTAGTATCTTCCAGAAATGCTAGCATCTGGATGAACAGCTGCGCGGTTGCTTCGATGCGCCTTAGCATCTCTTGCAACCAAAGCGAAAAGGCTATGTGGCTATGAAGCAGAACAACAACAAAGAATGTCGACCTGCTCGTACGTACGTACAGTACGAACGAACACAATGGAGATGGAGGCGCAGGTGCAAGCGGCGTGCCGCAGTCAGAAAATAGCGACGGGACACGGTGCGAGTTGCAAGAGCAATCACTGAGATTAGGAAACGAAACAGGAACGAACGAAGTGCTATCTAACGAGAACAGCATTTCGCAGCGTATTTCTCCAAAACGCCAAACTCGACGCGACGGTCCTTCGTCGCTTGGCTTGTTGATAAGTGGCCAACGCAAGCCGATGGAATGACCCCCAACCTAGTGCGAAAATACGATAATAATACAACTGTACAGTTTTGTGTTCAAAAGAAAAGAAAGAAAAAAAGAAAGGGGAGAGAGAGAGAGAGAGAGAGAGAGAGAGAGAGAGAGAGAGGAAACATCGCAAAGGGTCTGCTCTGAGCCTGCTGAGCATGCTTAAAATAGTTTGGATCGTTTCTGCGAAAAGGTCTATTTTTAGTTCATGACATTTAATCTGGCCGGCTGAACGAACAAGCGACCCAGACAGAGGAAGGGGGGAAGGATCAGACTGTAGCATGGCAACAGACTCTGTCTGTCTCCCATCCGCGCGGATTTGAGGTCTACACTGAATGGATAGTATGTATTACAAGAAAGCCGTTTCGCTAAATAGGGGTACGATACAACTGAAATGTTGAGTTGGAGAAGCGGATATATAATAGTTCATCTTGAAATAGATCCAGACGTTCCCTTTTAAGACGCGTTCGTGGTATATATGCGCATATAGAAAGTCGGTTCGCAGACCTGATTTCGAATCGGAAAATGTTTTCGGCAACCACAATCAAGACTGCGACCTCAAGAAAACCTTGTGAATCATCAAAACGACTGGTGGAGTTTAATAAGCATCTGACGTAGACTCATGTTACAGTTAAGGGGCGGCCCTACTATTACGGGTGTTTTCATATATCTACTTATTTAAAAAAGCGAAACTTATTTATTAGTCTCAGACAAACCAAACAGATAAGACTGCTTCCTTCTAAGAATAAGGTTTCTTGGATGAGAAAAACACTACAATTTTTTATGAGGAGCCCTTGCCATTCAGATAAATAATATTTATCCGCTAAGCAGCTAAAAAAGTATATACAAATAACTTAAAGTGGGGTACTTCTGTCACAATTCAATACTACAGCAGCAGTAGGACGCTAAGTTACAGGTTTATGATAAAACGAATATATTAAGAATGGAAAATACACAAAAAACAAACAGAGTTCCTGACTAGCCTACAGTTCGCGTCTTACTGTACGTATTATATAGAGTCATTTGTTATTTCAGGTTGCATTAAAAGCTGTCCCGCGGGCAACGACAGCGTTGCGAGACTTCCTCACTGAGTTTCACTATTCGTACTTTCTGTCACCACATCCATCTGTACTGGACACATATGATGTCTGTTTTGAAACAATTGACTACTATTTTTTCGCCCAGGAAGTGGCACCGTTGGGCGACTTGTGGCATTGGATCGAAGCTGCAGGAGGCCTGGACGAACAAGATCTCAAGGACATCTTACGACAGATCGTACCTGCCCTTGAATTTATGCATAGCAAGGACCTTGTGCACAGGGATGTGCGCGCCGAGAACGTACTCGTTTTCAAGCACGATTTCTCCAAGGTGGGCGAATCTGCACGCATTTCTTGTCGGTATTATGTACGCGAATGCTGAATGTGTGCTTGGAGGATCAAGTCAAAGGTTGGATATTGGGGAGGATCTGTACAATTGCCAGCATTTAGACTGAACATGAAGCTGTTCCGGTGTTGTAGGAATGCCAGCCATCGCAAACAGACATTGAATGTTCCCAGGTTTCAATTCCTTATTACAAGAAACATCTATTGACAGAGCCGTATAGATATGAGAGAGATTATGGTAGTATTTGGACTGTCCTGCATTCAACTCGGATAGAAAAGATCAGGTCTTCAGGAGGCAAGCTAAAACAAATTGATGTCTAATACGAAGCGAACGTTTGATATCAATCTGCTTTTAAAACGTTACTTCTTACGCAGTATCTACGACCTGATGACATGGTCGGCGCCTTGTAGTGCACTATTTGCTTAGGTAACCGTGAAGCGTTAAAAAACCGTAAATATCTTCCTGATTATCGCTTGTTCAAAGTTATAATAAATCTAGTTATCGTTTTGTGTAAAAAATTAATATGAGATCCTTGCTTGCCATAAACGAAATAATCCGAGCGTCAAGGGGTACGAGTGTCACCCTTAGTCTAACTGCGTTTTTCCTTTTAGCTCCTATATGCAACTGTCCTTTAATAGCAAATCGTTTACGTATAGATATGCTACATTACCGTCAACGCCATATGTGCGTTAGGTCATTCATAAGACATCTAATGACTATCGGTAGCTGATCCGTCGCTGAGAAATTGTAATAATTTCTCATCTAAATAAAGTTAAAATTAATCGCAATAAATCAGATTCTTAGATCACCAGTAGTCCTTAGTTGATTGTTCGGATTAGTCTGTCCTTAGAGCCGAATAGATATATTTCACACATTATTACCAGGCGTATGCCCCGAAAGCCTGAGGCGTTAAAGAAGCTTTGCAAATTTTGTGCGCTTAAGCAGAATAGACAAAGCTTTATAGCCAAGCTTACAAGCCTCCATGTACATGTGTTGTTTTCTGTTCTTTCCTACAAACTGTTTTAGGCAGTGTCCCCTGAAACCACTGTTTTAGGTACGCTGCTACAAGTAAATTTTTTTCTGGCGTGAAATATATTTTTCCACTGCTGGAAAAAATCTACCGGAAGCCGCAAAAAAGCCGTGTGGGCTTTTGTACAAGATTTTGTGCTTGCTGTTTTCGTTTATTGGCGGGCTGCCAACAACGAGAGGTTACATTCATGGGGGGGGGGGGCCGAAGCTGACACCAAGCAACAAGAGCCTGTCTGACCGTAAGATAGCAAAAAGAAACATTCTCTATTTTATTTAAGGCAATACGTACGAGATATTGTCGCCAATGGCCCGAATCTTGAAATAGGCGTCAATGTACAACCTCAAAGAGCGATTGGTGCTGCAAAAGCGACTACGGTTCACTCCAGAGGCATCAATAGAAAAAGTAACCTTGACCATCAGGTGCATTGTGTCATGCGCTGTGGACTTGAGATCATGGAATTCTACTAATAGGAAATTCCGTTTTAGAGTTTAATATAAAGAATAGTTTATTTCGGCGGCCGCTTTGTGACCTTGACTTTCCATGGCCAGGATCGCGTAGGTCGATGCAAACGGCCAAAATCAAATTATGAATGAAAGCCATGGTTTAGTGGTCGCCTGTCCATTCAAGTTTGGTTGGGTATTCTAACTATGTACTATAGCAGAATCTGAGACATTTACTCCCTCCTGCTAGTCCTGAAAAGGCAGAAGCAGTAGCAGCACATGACGAACTTTTTATTTGAAATTCTAGTCAGAATTCGATAGTAACAGAAAAAAAGATTTGACGTCGGTTGACGTCCACCAGCAGCAAACGTACAGAGGATCGGCTTTTTTCAATGCTGCGGATAGGAAAATAAAATTTTTGTAGGTGTCGTACACCATTGGTTTACTGCTAGACTCAGGAAAGAGATCCGGATGTTCGAAAACTCGTGGGATGTGATAACCTGCTCCGCCGAAAGGGCTATGGTCATTCAACTTCATTGAAGTTACCTCCCTTCCCTGCTCGGTGTTGTATTCCGTACCAAGTAATGCTAGCAATGTTTCGAAAATTATATATCTACGTATTGAAGTAGGAAATCAAATACATCTATTGCGCGTCGTGTAGGATGCTAATTGGGACAAGGCAAAATACGGTGCAGCCTCTCTGAGCGTTCCTTGTTGAAAGGAGCGGTACGCAACAATATATATCGTATTCTAGACAGATGCCTTTTCGAGGTGAATTAAACAAAGCAAAGTCTGCATTGAGATCAGTGTCATGTGTATGGGTAGAGAGGACAACTGATAGAGTTGGACTAATTAAAGGTTACCTTTTTGTCAGATAAGTGACAAGGCTAGGATTTTGGTTTATCGTAGATCGCCTTGAATTAAATCAACGGGATAGCCAGGCTGTAAGGACCAAACGGCAAACAATTTTGTGCCGTAAGGCTTTGTGGGACAGCAAAGGCTGATGTATAAATAATATGCATTGTCCGCTTAAGTTCATACCGTAAAGGAACTAAATCCGATACAGAAATGTAGTAGCCTCAGGAAGCATGCGTTTCGTAATAAGGATGGGTTGGAGAACTCTAGAGCACACCGAAGATGGATTCTGGCACCCCGCGTGCTCTGAGACTAATACGCATAAAATCGTTGGGAAAATCACGCAGCTTCAATACGCTTAAATACTCTATGTTCGAAACGTGTCTCAAGAATTTACATAGTAGCAGTAGAATTGTTCGACAATAATAATTATAATTATAGTACAATGTATTTAGATCTTGTCAGAACTGAGTTAAGCTATAACCTTTGCGTTTGGCTTATTATGCTCATTATATAATAATTACTTTAATCATTTGGAGAAACTAATTATACCAAAAAACGTTATAATTGCGCTGATTTAATTATTAAAAACAATGCGCTATTTCCTAGTAAATGTATTGTTGTTATTTTGCTTAAACTGAATAGCTGATAGAAGTAATTTTTCGACAAACTAGCACATCTGGCAATCGACGAGCGCTCACCAGCCGGTAGGCTAGGTGTAGGTGCACTGATACGTAACGATGCCTAAATGCTTACTTTCTATCTGACCTGTCAAAGGTCAAATTGACAGATTTCGGTCTGACGCGTCGCGCTGGGACGCTGGTCAAGAAGCGCGCCCGTTCGTTACCCACTTGTCCGCCGGAAATCTGGGAGATGTTAAGCATGGAGGGATACACTGTGGAAACAGGCTCCGATGGTTGGCAGCTCGGGATGCTTGTTTTTATCGGACTCACAGCCAGGTATGTTCCGTTCAACACGTTGATTACTCCAACGGATGAGGGTATTCATACACTAAGCAACATTAGTAATAGTATAACAGCAAATGATATTTTGAATATCAGGCTTTACGGTTTCCAAAAGTATCTGGTCGCCAGCGGGTTTTCTATTGGGCGGTTCTGGATTCGTGGTTATGAATTTACCCCGTTTCAATAAAAGGGGAAAGGCAAGTGCCAATTTGAGGTATTGGTGTATGACAGAAATATCAACCAAACGGTTATTTAAGAAGTGCTGTTGTCTGTCTCTTTTGCCCGTGACGACAATGCCACACATTGTCAGAAGAACTCGCAGTTAATAATCGGACAGCCACCCTTTTCGGCTTCCTTGAACCCGCATTTATGATTTGATGAGGATACAACTTCATCGCTCTTCTGTAAATAATAATAAAAAAGTGAACTTAGCTATTGTTAAAGGAATGTAAGGACAGGCAAATGCTTATAAGGCTTTCATTTGTTCCCATAGCAGTGAACGAGTAATAGAGCGTCAAGCGGATTGGCGAATTCAACTCTTAGCAATAGCGAAAACGATAGAGTTGCGAAAAGTGCCATACAAACGGGATATGGAAATGTACGACATATTAGACATATTTGCAGGCGTTTATAGGATCATGGGCGACGCTCCGAAGACACCACTGGGTAGACCGAGCAGTTGATGGACAGAGAGCACAAACCTTAGACCTAGAGGGCCCTTAGACCTAGAGAGAGCACAAACCTAGAGGGCCGTAGAAAGCATCGGAGATGGAACTAATGGGACGTTGTCAAAACAGTGGGTGTTGAGCATTTAACAAAAATCTGTGGGCATAATCTATTTGCAATCGTATACTCGGTAATTAATTATGGCGTAAAAGAAGTGCTTCGAAGCTGGTAAATTCATTATTCTCCATGAGTTTACAACTAAAACTATCGTTTAATTAATAATCTATCGTAGTAGATTTTTATCGAACAGAACGTGCTTTATTCACTAGTGGCTATACAATAAACGAAGAGAAGATTAAATCAAAATTTGTTTCTACAAATATTTTATAAATAAATATACCCATAAACTTTATAATATCTACAATCCAGTTTTGAGGATATCTATGACGCAATACATCGTACTTACGCGCTGATTCGCTGCAGGGATGAAAACCGTACTTGATATAGCAAATTTTACGTAGAGTCTTCATGAGATTGCGTGGAATCTTCCAAAGTGGAATTTAGAGACGAAATTCGGGGTTATCAAGTACTCAGGATAGTCATGAGGTTAAAACATTTTAATGTTGAAACAATTGAGGTCATAGACTTGACATCCCTCAAGGCAACAGAAGTCGCTGGTCTGCCTTTAAAAGTGGTCTATCCATCGAACTGAAGCAAACATTGGTTGGCAAAGATAGATCTTATTGTGATGAGTGGGTTTTCCATTTAGAATAAAGAGGTCCGTGTATGCCATCGTCGTCGGTTTTCCTATTGAGATTAGTAGCGAGCGGCCGGCTTAAAGCTCTTGAGGCCTAAAGCAATGTCTGACGGCAATACAATACGGCCAACATAAAACTGTTCGGCTAGTAGGCTATGAACGCAGCGCCTAAAGGTTCTACTTCCAAACGTGGTTATTTGGGTAAATTTCCCGAAAAGGTTATTTGCAACGTTTTCTACGCGCTTAATTTCAATGGCCTGTTTGTTGAATGTAAATTTACAGGTTTCCCTGGGAAAAAGCCGACATTACCGATCTGCGCTTCAACGAATTCATGGACTGGCAAAAACGCAAAACGATCCGTACTCCTAAGGAGTTTAAACGTTTTTCGCCTAGGCTTCTTAGGTTGTTTCGAAGGTGAGTCAGCGCTGAATATACAATCAGCCACTTCGTCGTCGAAATACGCTTCGTCGAGTCTACCGGCTTAAGAACCTAAATTCTTAATAGATCTTCAGTACTAAATGACAGCGGAAAGTGGAGGATGTTTTCATCGACCGACGATCAAGGGGCCGATTCTCCCGCCATCCCTTCTTCATTAAATGCACTGTAGAAAAATCGAGTATTTATTTTTATACGTGGACATAAAGCCAGGGTATCTGATGATGAAACTACAGCCTTTGCTGCATATTCCTCCATATATACATACTTTTTATTCACACTAGATCGAACGAATTTTGCAGCCCGGAGCATCGTGTGGACCACCTTGAGATTACGAGTCTCTTTATCGCTTTGGCTGATATTTCATATACGGTTTATGTATTCCCACAAGCTGAACGCTGAGTTTTCTGTATTGTATAATGTAGCAAAGTATGCAAAAACTCAATTCGCTTTACTCAGCTCGCTTTACTAATCGTTGTTGCTGGACTGTTGCGATGCCAGAATGATTTCTCTATAAGAAAACACAACCTCGTAAACGGAATGCCATTTGCAAACAACATGTATACTCACTTTTATTTAGCCCTCCCTAGCACATCGCTACGTATACAACTAGAGGCCTAGTTGACGGTTCCAGCATAGGTCGTACCATCGGTCACCTACGTAGATTGCTATTGATAGCTCGTGGTGTTAGTTATGTATGGGCACAGTGTAACTTATGTCTATTACCTATTCTTTTTCTCGTTTTACTTATATTAGGCTATTGGAGCAGAAACCGAAGAATCGATACGAGGTGTCCGAAGTAAACAAGTACTATGACGACCGGTGGTTAATGAATCGATCTCCACGGACAAGCAAAGTTGCAGAGATGTACGATTCGGGCATGCAGCCCGGCAAACACTCGGGTACGTCTTCGGGAACGACGGCAGCTCAGACTGGGGGGGGCAATTCGCATCTCCTGTCGCCCCACAATTCTTCGAGAGAGGGTTCCCACTCGCGTAAGAACTCGTGGACAAACAAATCAAGAGAAGCTACGCCCTCACCCGTTAACTAGACAATACCACTACTCTAGGCAATTATTATCAGATGGTTAATAATACAGACTATAATAATGAAATTCTAGTTTACAATACTAATAATTGTTAAGTTCGAAAGAAACTGAATTAGCAGTAGTCATCGTAGTCTTCTTTTTTAAAACCATTTGGCCATTTAGCAGATGATGTGTTATAAGCAAATTCACTACTGATCTGAGGCAGCCGGCTCTTACGCTGTTCCGGCTAAACGAAAACTAAGAAGAACCGATCATTCAAGCAGCCCAGTAGAAAAAAGCCTCATTCTAAAAATTGAAAAATCCGTAGCCCATTGGATTCAGCTAGCGTACAGGCATGTAAAAGTAGGAAGCGAATTTTTTCAAGAAATAGGTGACGGGAACAACTGGGCTTCAAGCTGGAACAGGAAGATATTCATTGCTTTCGAGTAAGTGCGTTATGTATGTAGTTTTCGCTAACTACGTTGGCAACTACTTAGACAAATTTCATCGACACTGCGACAGCTATGGTGCTGCTCAGACAAAGATAAAAACGGGTAGCGGTAGCAAAAGCAGCAATAATATAATCGGAAGCGATCATAAAAGCAAACGCGTAACAAAAACGTGTGAAAAACGCCGAAATATTCTCATCGTTTAACGTTTATGATGAGAAAACAACTATTTGACGATCGTCAAGGACAAAGATAGAAGGAGAAAAAAATACAAAATAAAGAAACACAGCTGGAAAGAACTCTGTCATTCTAGAAAGTATCTTGAAAGCTGGCTTCCGTCGAATGCGGCAAAACCTGTTAACCTAACAAGTAGCGTACACTAAAAATGGAGGCATAATGCCCTTTCAGATCATCTCATAGTCCTCTTAGCTGCATAAAATGTATTGTTGTTACTATTATTATCATTATTTAGTACTTTGTGCGTTACTATTACTACACTCGCATTGTTGTTTGTGCCGGTCCCCTTATCTTTAGAGATGTGAGCCACGTATCGTGTACATGCGCATCGCATGTTTCTACCTAATATGCTACTCCGTAGGTAAGTACATACCTACAGGCGTACCTTGTCCTTATTATAGAAATGTTGAAGTATAAAAGTTCTTCATTGTAACCTGACTCACAGAATTCACAACATCTCCACAGCCGGTAGAAATACCAAAACCCGCATCAGTTTCAGTAGTGATGATGTAGCCAGGCGACAACGTTCGACACCAAGTAATATCGAGAGCCTGGATACAGCAGTATTGAGATCACAGGACACAAATATTTCCTATACATATCTGATGTTATTATAGGTCAGACATGGTAGCAGTTTAATATAGGAACGTATTTATTACATAGATATTCGCTAACGACCATGATAAACGCAAGAGGAAAGAAATGCCGCACATTTTTTACCGCATAGTGCAATAAGAATAATTTAGAAAAATGCAGTAGGGAACACGTTCGCGAAAGCTTCCCGCTTCGTAACTATGATTACAACAGATTCATCCACATAGCGGTTTCTAATCAATGAAATTGTATTTATGACAAGGAAATTGTTCGAGCGAAAACGAGAATGACAGCTGTTAGCTATTACAGCCGTTAGCTACGTTGTTTGCTCGCGTGGCTGCTCTTCGAGACCGCCGATATGCATGAGAGCGATCGATACGCTCAATTGTTTCGTTCCGTTCTCTATTCTTTTCTGTGTCGTTCTACTCATAGAAACGTTACTTGAATGCTTCTCTGTTATCCACAAACTACATGCATAGAAGAGTAGTAAACACTGGTCCAAATCAAAGGATATGTGCGGACTGAAAGCCGGTAAGGAGCAACAATGTTCTGGTAGAGTTAAAAAAAAAACCGAAATGATCCGCAATTGTCGCTGTATAAACAATGTATATAATCAATAACAAAGAAAACTAAGATATTTACATTAAGTCATTATTGTTACAATTAAAAAAAAAAAAAAGAAAAGCACATGGAAAGCATAAGACGTACTACAGGGCCAGCGTATGACGATGTATATCAAGCAAATATATTACACAAAAAATAAATATATATGTATATGTTATGGCGAATTATTATTATTATTATTATTATGAATTATGCTGCCGTACAAACCGACCTTTGGTAAGAGGTAAGATTCGTAGACTGGAAATTATCTAGCAAAAAACCGCAGCCAACTATGAATCGGAGAATGAGAGAAAGAAGTCTTGAGGAAAATCTGCTGTATTGCAACAACACTATGAAATAGCCTATGCGACTGTTGTTGCAAACGCTTGAGACGATTACGGATGAACTTCAGACAGATGCGTGGACTGGGCTTTTTATCCGCAGGCATTCAAAGTTAAGGAAAGCAAGTCACCTACGGATAACGATCTATATTTTACTTTCGTTACAAAATACTAAATAAAAAATCCTTGTGGTTATCAAGCGTTATCGAAATCGCAAATGATTTTCATATTAAATAAAATTACTTCTAACGTGTAAGGTAGCGTACCTTTTTTCAGTCGATAGAGTTTTCTTCGGCTGGCGTACCGGATATATATAAATCTCAATAATGTTTCTCGTTAATTCGTATCTACGGGGATCCTATGGAAGAGAACAGAGAATCATCTACGGTATATTTGCTTCGTTTTGATATTATTTAAATCAACGCCAGGCGGTGTTAGAGCAAAACTTCCATCGATGTCGAGCCACAATTAATTCTCTTGTCCTTTCTTTCTATCTTCTATTGTGTTGCTATTTACTGCAGTAACTTACTAAACTAGCTCAAATAAGGGACAAGGAGGAAAGCGATAAAAGTTACTAATCTGCTCTTTTGCATTGCGTCGTAGGAGCCGTGCGGGGGGCAACGTTTACAATGCTAGAAAGGGAAAAGTGGCCTAACAGATGGATGATATCGATAGTGCAGAAGATAAGAGGTCGTATAGCCTGGACGCTAGCACGGGGCATTGTTACGAAGCACAGACGCTATCTCTCATAGCTTTCGATCCATCATCGTGCCAGATGTATCCAGCCATAAAAATAAACTACATAGCATTAACAGTCCATCTACTATATAATTAAACATGATCAATACAAAAGTTACTATATACGGTTATACAGGATGGTTAAAGCGGCACGCGTGTAGAAAAAAGAAAGTGTAGCATTGTACACTCATGGATCGCATACATACACGGTTAGCGTATAATATATAGGTTCGCAAAAGAGTCATCCAATGTGGGACCAATTTTAAACTGGTCGTGGAAATTGTGTAAAAATATTGAAATATTTAAAAAAAAAAAAGGTAGCAATATAATAAATCGATAGTTTCGGTGACATAGAACAAAAAGCCCAACTGTTTTTTTTTGCGGGATTAGTACACAATTGGCGGTCTTTTTAAAACGCTATTAACATGCACAACTGACCATCATAGTTCGGCAAACACGTTATTCAATCTTCAACTAAGATAGTATTCATATAGTACAAACAAGGCTTAATAATGTCTCAGGCTGTACGTCCGACACCATATTTCAAAGCTCACATCAGCATAGGAATTGGTGTCCTTTTTCATTTATTTGTAATAAAGTACATTATAGTTAGGGATAGTTTGTCTTTGAGTTTTATTTTGTTAGTGTAATGCATACATAATGTACAATCCCCAATAGAGCAACTTGGGCATGGAATATTTGATATGTGGTAACACGGGGCAGTTTATTTTGCCATCTGTTATTCTAAGCCTCGAAACTAGGAGCCTTAATTAAGTTCACAATAGTGACCTACAAAATAGGTAGTGTATGATAGTTACAGATACCAAATATACCTTTAAACAAAGATATTAATTTATCGTAAATGTTTCTATAGTATCGTATATGTATATGGGTTCGCTTTTGGGGAATGCTTGTAAACCAGTATGCTTTGAAGCACGTTTTTTTTGGCAACAAAATCTTAGACTTACATTTCGCGTCTCATTTTACATCGTATGAAAGGGGATATGTTTGATCCTATTCCATCTGCCAAGTAGCCACAGTGTGGCAAAAAAGCTGCGTGCTAGGGTAATAAACGTTGCTTCGAACGATATTTAGCTTTGTAAGGTATACCTGGGCGGTTCACTATCAATAGCTCCTCGGAAGCGAAGGAAAGTACTCTCCCCGTTTATCCCTTCGCTGTTTTCCTGTGCTAAAAGGAATGGATGATTTTGGCTAGTGCACTCGCTCGTCCACTTCCCCACGTAGGTTAGTTATCGGAAACAGAAAACAAGATCTCAAGGACTTAATCTGTTTCTGTAGACCAAACTAAGGTAACGTATAAAATATGTATACATATCTATCCACATATTAGCATAATGCTTAGCCGAAATCCCTGTTTCAGTTGAAGACCGCTCACTCTAAAAGCTCTTCACTTCGACGATGAACTTTCCAACAATATCAGAATATAACTTTGACTATCAAGTTACAGTGGCAAATAGAATTTCCGAATAGAACTATGTATCCGACCAGAACGTATAGAAGTATAGCGGAGCAATTCAATTAAAAATTAGAATTTTTTGTAAATTTGATCAATCTGAGTGGCGTTTTATTTATAGAAAATGGAGCCGTGTGTCTATCTAAAACAATAGATTTTTGATTCCCTGAGATGTTTCACATATATATCTTATGAACGTGTGAATGTATACGCGAAAATCAATAATTAGTCAGGGAATTTTGCTTAGTACCAATACCGAAAACATAATACTAAATCGAGCTCAAATCTATATTAAGACTATATGATAAATCAGATCTCCAAAAACTCTCGGGGTTGTACATGATTTTTTAGGATTGAATTAATCATCGTTCATAGTGGCCAATCTTGGAAATCATTAGGGATTGCAAGAACTAACAAGTTAAGTAACACATTTTCATGGAGAGTAGTTAAGCAGCTTCGGTTATGATAAAATCTAGTATGGTACATGATTTGTAGGCTCGTTCTTGCTGAAAATATTATTACTTAACTTTAGTTTCTCAAGTAGTTTCATAAGCAAGCCTTCCAATATATTTTATAATAAGTGGGTAATAGCCGAACGAATTTTTAGTAGGAATAAAAAAAGCTTGAAATCCATTCAGGCTAATAAGCTAGTTCACAGAACGTACGACCTGTGCCGAGGTGGTTAGTAACTTAGACCTGAGCAGACCAGCAGAAATGTTACGTTTTTGGCAGCATATGGCCTTGAGCTTGGTCCTCGAAAGAAGCGAATGGTCGCTGTGCGTTGTTCTCTGCAGTGCTGAACTTAAACGATTGCAAGTTAAGCATAACCCAGCTTAATTTGTCAAGTAAAAGCATTTTTATAATTCAATTTTCTAATCTAAGTTTAAGCAATAGCATTCAATTCAGAATTGGGAATTTAACTGTCTAATATAAGAAATATTTAACCATTTAAAATAAGGAAAAAGGTGCGTTCCTAACTGGAGATAGACATGAATATCAAATGGATAATTAATACGCCAAAGATCAAACTAATCTAATAACAGGTTAACCCCACATGGGTCCTGTTACTACTGTGGTGAGAGAAGTACACACAAGTGTTCATAACATACAACCCCGGTGTCCGTTCATGCTAATGTCCTGATCACCTATTATTGCTGGATACAACGTGCCTATAAACCATGATAGCTAGCATTTCGTCTACTGTAGACACGGGTAATTGGAAAACAAACCGGCTCTCGGGCACTATTATTATGTTGATTCTGCTATTTTATCGTTAATTGCGTTGGCTATCTAGCCCCTTGCAGTGTTAAGAAGGATCTGCCAATGTTCTAGGCTTTCGACAATCTTTTTCGAAATAGTTTTTTTCTTGTCCTAAAAACATTTTTTAAACTCAGGCTACGCTTTTCTATTGGGAAAAAAAAAACAAACCCGAGAAGCATTCGGCACATGCCCACTACCTAAGTACTTGTTAAATTTAATACTGGGATAACTCATGAGCAATGACGATAGATAACATGATTAGGTTATCGTCTAAAGGGAAAAACATTTCAGTCCTATAGAGTTACCTTACAATTTATCAGTGCCGTTTTGGTATGACTGTACAAGTTCAAACCTTCGTCTACTAATTGGAGTAGGCGGTGGCGATAAGAACTTGAAACTACCGGTTTATAACAGACTGGCACAACGATTTACTTGATATCGTAATTGGTTTTTTATCGGTCACGCACCTAATTTCAAGGCCACAATCTAGATCTTGATAGAAAAATTCAAATTTTTTCCATTTGCAACAGGATTTCCTGCTCGAACGCCGTTACCCAAGTTCGACAAACCTTTTTAGATTCACAGCAGTAATGTATAATTTGTAAGTGTCAAGCATATAAATATATGGCCATGTAGCTCTGCGGAGTTTGCGAAGAAACTAAACCACTCGCTTTCTCCATGTGAAAGTTTTCTCAAAAGTAGTACCCTGTTTGAGAGTTTATACTTTTATCAAATGGCAAAACCCAAAACCCTATATGTATCTCGAAATTGGTGATTGTACCTTATGTTGGCTTAAAATTTTCTAAAAAAAAAAAAGAGATATGAATCGAGACGGAAAGTAGAAATCGCACTAAGAAAACAGTTACCGATAAGGTTCTAATGGAGTTCTCTCACACATAGCTGCATTGGCACTTCATCAAACTTTATCCTAGAATAGACCTAATTAAATAGTGTATCTACTGAAAAAGGAATTGTGTGAGCGATTTCTCAGCGTCAAGTAAATCACATTTATGGAAAGCTTAGGAAAACAGCATAAATCATTAGCAGAATAGTTGATTCTGTTCAATAGACGGGCTTTTTGTCACATGTCGTTGCATAAATAAACAGGGAGTTCCTGGCAGATTTACTTGGTCGGGCAACCAGAAATCTGATAATAACTAACTAATCGATGATTAAGGTTCAGTCTAAAACTTGTAGTTAGGTGCCAG